TTTCCAATGTTCATTGAACTTCCCATATCCACTTAAAACTGCATTATACCATTGGTGTGAACATAACAACATAATTTTTATAAAATACGAAAATATTGCCTAGTTCTCTTTAAACATTCACATTACAATATTCGTACTAACATTAGATCCAATGTAAAGTGGAATCAATGAGTTAAATTTTTTGAAATATCCACCACAGAAGGATATACATAAACAAGTGGTCAAATTCGATTTTTATGGATTTACACACTATAGCAACCAAAGAAGCGAAAAACTAAATTTTTTACTGAACAACAACTGAGTTTTTAATTTCGATAATCTAAATTTTATGTTTCACTTGAGTTAATTTCACATTGTACTTTCTCTGCCTTCAAAAACTTTCTATCTTTCTACCAACAGAGTTCGTTGACTTCTTCAATTTTCTGATTGTATTTTTTTTTTCGAAAACTGTTGTAAGAGTTTCATAAACTTCCCTTTCCTCGTTAATTAACATACAATTTGTAAATTCTAGCGTTTCAAGAAAAAGGAAACAAACTCTCTTTCTCTCTCTCTTGTTCCCGCTCTTTAAATTTTAAATGCTGTGCTGCTGTTAATAACCCAAATTCCCAGCGATGTTTCTAAAACCAAAAAAAAAAAAAATAAAATTGTTATTGATGGATTTCAAATTTATAAATTGGATATTAACTTGGCTGTTGTAATCGATGTTGTGTAAATCAATGAAAGAAAATGTCACATTTGTTTAATTAAACGTTGATAGATTGATATTCCTCTAGTTTTTGGTGTTGCTGTTGTTGTTGTTTAAATGGTTAATTGCATAGTAATAATTCAAAAAAAAAACAAAAACTAAACTAAACTAAACAAACTCTTCTGAGTTTCTAGATCGATAGATGTATATTTTGCTGAACTCCTATCTCTATCCTCACTCACACCCACACAAAACTCACAAAATTTTGATGGCGGCTGTTAAAAAAAATTAGTTTCCCCTCGAAAAAAAAAACAATAGTTATTGCATTTTTACGGAAACTATGACCAATTAATTATTTCTTTTTATAAATTATTGTATTTTATATATTACCAAATATGTAAGTCGTATTTGAAAGTTTATTTATTTTATCGACGTTAATGTTTCCATAAACATATATTTTTTTATGATTTTTGAGCACATTATGCTTCAAGTGATTCACCGACAAAATAAGCATGTTGTTACTATAAAATAGTCCATTAATCATATTAAATAATAAAGTTTATTTAATTTTTTTTCAAACAATCTTATCGACAGATTTCTTATGTGTTATTAAATTGTTTATTTTAATATTTTTCCTAATATAAATTTGTACAAAAATATAAGAGGTTAAAAAACATTATTTTGATTTAACTTTATTTTAGAGAAAAAAAATTAAGGATACATTAAATAATTATTTAATTACTCTACAACTAAATTGTGTACAGCTATTAAGTTTTATTAGGATTTTATATTAAAATGTAAGAAAAATAACAACAATTTTATATGTGATAAGCGAGATAGGAGTTCAACAAGATATCATTGTTAAGAGGTAACTAGTAAAATAGTATCAGTTGGATTTGCCGATGTATACCCCCAGTCTTGACTGCTGATTATTCAAATAGTTAACTCTTTATGGGGGAGGTTCCGAAGCAGTTGGCCAATATTGACCAATTCGCATCTGATCTAAGTCTGATATAAATATTACAACATGACAGGTTAGGACTACTTCCCATACTTTATATTTTTGGAAACTGCGGAAATGTGTACAGCGGACCGAAGCATCGTTTTCATACTTCATCTAATACAGTAAAAAACATTGGTATGCGGAAGTCGACTTGAAGGAAATCGAACATTTATATCCAATTTTATGTGAAATCATAAATTACTTAAAATGTTGAGGAGGTCCCAGAAGGAGTAGACCGATATATCCCATCTTCACCCCAGACGTTGGGCTAATATAAAATGTTGTGATGTGTGTAATTTGAAGAGAACCGGATATTTATTTCGGATTTTATGATAGTTTTGGTTATTCAAAATTTTTAACACTTTTGTGAGGGAGGTACCAGAAGGAGTGGTCCGAACTCTAGTATCTTTAGAACAAATCTTATGTTGATAGAAATATTTCGATATGCCAAATCTGGATGGAATCGGATATTAATTTCGTGTTTCATGAGCTCCATGAACATTCAAAATGTTGACCCTTTGTGGGGAGGTACCAGAAGGAGTGGACCGATATATTCCATTTCCACACCATTTTCGCACCTGACCTAGCACAATATTATTATATGCAAAGTTGGAGCAAAATCGAATTATCCTTTCCCTTTATGTGCAGTAAATTATTTTCTTTGAAAATTTTGACATTTTTTGGGGGAGGCACCAGACGGAGTGGATCGATATTAGCCATCTCCGAACTCGATCTAAGTTTTACAAAAATATTACGATGTAACAAGTTTGGACCAAATAGGATACTCCCTTCGAGAGTTATCGTGCGCACCAGCCAGACAGACAGACAGACTGACGGACGGAGGGACATCGCTAGATCGATTTCAAATGTCCTGAAACGGGATTGGCCCAAAGAGACTTAGGGTCTAAAACCGTTATTTCGATGAGGCACGTTTTGGTCGTATCAAATGATATATACCCTCTGTAGCCATATGGCTGAGAGTATAAAATACAGTAAGTTCAGGCGGGCCGAACTTTGAATACCCTCCAGGAACAATTTTGGAAATTTAAAAAAAAAATTAATTCGTTACAAATTCTTTTAAAATCTTAAAAATACCGAATAAAGCCGTTATATTGGGGTGTATACGAAGGCGTGGACCTGCATAGACAAACCTGAACCTGAAAAACAAATCCCGTGAAAAATGTAGGTAAAATCATCAAAATACAGAATATAGGGAGGTACCGTTATATCGGGGCTATACAATTTTCATTTGACTCTAGGCTGATTACAACAAACGGACGGACAGAGATAAATCCTCTTAGAATTTTACGCTGATCAAGAATATTCACACTTTGTTATGTCTAAAATTATTCTTTCGATGATTACAACCGGAATGACGAACTTAATATACTATGTATGGTGGAGGGTGCAAAAAGGAATTATCCTGAACTCTTCACCCTTCACATATTCCTAGATCTAGTCTCGTTTTGGTACCAACGGTCAAAATTCTCCAGAAATTATACATGTTTGATATAAAGACAGAATCACTCGGTTCTGCCGACAGATTAATACCCTCAGCCATTGTTCGATTATTTAAATATATTTAGACTTCTGTTATGATTATTCGAACCATTGACCCTCTTGGAGTGGGTTCTGAGGGTATGGACCAATATTGTCTATTTCGTATCGGACCTAAATAAATACGATATAAATATGGGGTAACTTGGTAACAGGTTGGTAACTTCCTTCACTTTACATGACACATGTGATAATTTTTAGAAAAATATGCGTGAGGTACCAGTTAGTCGACTAATACATATAAAAATATTGGTATGCGTAAAATTACAATTATAAATTCCATATTCACCTCAGGGTTCTGATTAAGAGAAATATTTAGATATAGCAAGTTGTAAAATATCGCTGACTAGTATTGAAAATTGTGACCCTTGGTGAGTGTGGTACCTAAAGGGGTTCGCAGATATATATCATCTTCACAACATATCTTGTATTAGCAAAAATGTTTGTATGTGTGAAATTTGAAAAGAGTTGGATGCTTATTTCGATTTCTTTGAGCATTCTGTTTTTAAAAATCGTGAACCCTATATAGGGCAGGTAACAAAAGAAATGGTCCAATATCCACCGTTTTTATAACAGATCCTAATGGAATCGAATGTTAATTTCGCGCTTTATGAGCTTAATGGATATTCAAAATATCGACTTTTTGTGGGGGAGGTGTGAACCGATGTATTCCACCTTAACTCCAGACCTTGCGTTAATAAAATTATTGGTGTGTGTGAAATTTAAAGACAATCGGACTCTTGAATCACATTTTATAAGAGTTTTAATTATTCAAAATTTTAACCCCTTGTGGTGGGGTACTTGATGGAGTAGACCGATTTTGTCCAATTCTGGACCTGACCTAGCACTGTCGCAAATGTTAGGATTTGCAAAGTTGGAGCAAAATCGAATCATGGTTTCTCTTTCTGTGCAGAAAAAAAATATATATTTTTTGTGGGGGAGGTACCAGAAGGAGTGAACCGATATTGTCCATCTCCGAACTCGATCTAAGTTTGACAAAAATATTACGATTTACCAAGTTTGGACCAAATCGGATACTCCCTTCTAGAGTTATCGTGCGCACCAGCCAGCCAGACGGACGGACGGACATCGCTAGATTGACCCCAAATGTCCTGAATCGGATTTGATCCAAAGAAACCTAGGGTCTAAAAGCGTTATTTCGACTAGGCACGTCTTGGCCGTAGTCATATGGCTGGGGATTTAATAATTTAGGGATGTCACTTTAATTCCGTCTCGCAATTAAATAACTTTTTTGTGGCAATTTTTACACCCACCGCCGGTTTCACTAGGTTCTTATGAAGTTCAACTTTAATTTACTGAAGATTGGTGACATAAATATTTTTTAAGGAACTGGCCTGAGGAGCTGATGTTCCATTTTGTTTAATATGCATATCTAAATGATAGAAAATAAGTTCTAAACGATGCAATGTAGAGCAATCAACCTCTTTTTCTGAATAAAATTATTTATTTAGTTGTTTTTTTTTTTTTTTGGTTCTTTTAAATATATAAGTTTGCATGACATTTGAAATTTTTCACTCTAAAGAATTTGCAATTTGTATTCGTTTAAATAAAAACTTAACAAAAAAAAACATGCTTAACAAATACTTCTCTAATGAAAAAAACCACTTAAAGAAACAAAATTCTGTAAAAAGAAATCCTTTAACTGAATAACAATCATAACCCACACTAAAACTTTTCTATTCTACTCCTTCTTTATAAACAAAATCGTATTTCGACATTTCCATATATTTACAGAAATATCATCTTATTGGGTCACAACGCGAGGTGAGTTTCCAAAATAAGAATCTGTTTTTGTTTTTTGTGAAAAGAAAGGAATTAAAAAAATTTAATTCAAAACTATTTTCTATGGATAGGATAATATTTTTATATGCAGGTTATATTTTATAATATTCAGTTTTATAATTTAAATTATATTATTGACTATTTTTTAATGGACTCGCAAAAAGGATTGTGTTTTGAGTTTTAATATTTTATTTTTTTTTTTAATTGTCACAGTATTTGTTTTTAAATATATAACACGGTGCTACAAAAGAAATAAATAACAATAAGTAATAAAATATACACTAAAATAAAAAAAATGATACAAAGGAAATTTTATTTTTATATATTTAAAAAAAAAATGATTTAATTAAAAACTTACGCAACATGATAATATAATTTAATTAATGATTCAATATCATGAACGAAAGAAGCCATTTCCTTGATGCTACGAAATAACTAACTAACTGACTAACTGTGAAAAGAAAGCTAGAATACTGAAATTTCGGAAGAGGAGGATAGATGTACCAAAGGGTAGAGGTACCAAAGAGTTTAAATTTAATTTTACAAGCAGTTCTAAAATGATACCTAACATCTCTAATTGTACTATTTGCTATTATGTAAAATGATAGAGCTAAAAATTTGAAGAATCAAGGTTGGAAAGTAAGCCAGATGTATGAAGGTGCTTATGGAAATGTGTACTAAATATGCGAACTGTACTAAATGAGGTGAACAGATGAAGCAGGAATTTTGAAATTTTGTATTGGGATCCCTGTTGATAGTAGTTTACTGATAAAGTGGTGGTTGTGGAAATGTGTACTACATGTGCACGAAAAGTATTAAATAGTACTATACAGGGCAAGATAAAAAACTGCAACAAAGTCAAACGCCATAATTAAATTTTATTGAATGAAAGCAAAAACAAATGGAAATAGCATCATATTTTAGAATAAGTTTAGATTTCTTCGAATTGTTCAAGATTGGCACGAATTATGGCCTTCAAACCGTCACACGCTGCCCGAATGTTGTTCTGCAGAATTTTGGCCCAATCCCGGCGAAGCGCTTGCTTGAGGTGATCGACACTTTGGTTTTTTAGTGCCAACCTTGCTTTCCAAAATACTCCAGACACAATAGTCCAACGGATTGGTATCCGGAAATTTTGTGTGGCCATTTTGCGCTGGAAATGAAGCGAGGAACCTAATTTTTTAACCATTCTTGGGTGGCGCGTGCTGAGTATGATGGTGCTGCGTCCTGTTGGAATGGTCAAGGTCTGTGGCAAAAATATTTGCGCGCCCCAGACTTTAATACACCCTCCAGAATATTTTCGCGATAATATTCGACATTTATTCTGATGCCACGGTCGATTAATACGAGCGGAGAGCGACCATCGGCTGTTATGGCGGCCCACACCATCACCATGGCCGACGCTTGAGTTCTGGTGGCCAACCGAAGGTGCACAATTTCAGCTTACCTCTTTGGCAAGTAAACACGATCATTTTGTTTGTTTACAAACTGCTGGGCAACGAATGTTTTAATTAAAAACGTAAAATTTTATACTGCGATACGAAAATTATCAAATGTTACTAAATTTAGTATTCAGTAAATGTATAAAGCTAAAGCTTCATATCCGGGTTACAATTGGTTTCTAGGGTTTACATATGGAGACGTTGAAATGGTTTTGAGCAGAAAATGGATTCATTGTGCAATGATTTTATAAATATCCGTCTCGGCAAACTTTATTTTTTGATGACGTTATGATGTAAAAGGTAAACAGTTTCCTATTATTCTTTCCAAAAAAAAAAGAAATAACTTGAATAATATAAACCAGGAAGGAAAAGTCAAAAGTCGGGCGAGCCGACTATATGATACCCTACACCACTATGCATATTTAGTACAGCTCCCGTAACAAAATAATTTATTTGAAGTAGATCATACAACCTATCGATTTGGCTTTAGAGCAGTTATAGTTTGGTTTCAGAGGGAACTAATATGAGGGGAACCATATCAAATTCTGAATCAATTTTCACTAAATTTGACGGAGATATTTTAAGCTTTTATACTTTTGCTTTAGAGTGCATGATAAAATTCGAGAAGGACTATATTAATAAAAATGTATAAATATATTGTGTTGGTATTAGCTATTTTTTGCACATTAAATCTTAAATCGGATTAATGATATATATGGGAGAAATATGCAAATCTTAGCCGATGTTGATAAAATTGGGCAAAGTTATTTCCGAGCTTTTAAGATATCTGGTACCAAATATAATTTTTGTTGAATGTATGTTACGAATGCGAGGGATGAAACATACATGTGAAAGGTATATCTATATCTGAACCGATTTTTACCCCATTTAATATATTTGCTTCTAGACCGAATTCGATCAGATGTGCCAAAATTCAGGTCGTTTGGACTGATATTGGCAATTTAGTGCACAATTAACCCGAAATCGGTTTAAGATATATATGGGAGCTATATCCAAATCTGAACCGATCTTGACAAAATTCGATACATTTATTTCAGAGCTATATCTGATATCTGGTACCAAAGATCATTGTTGTGGAATGCATATTACACGTGTGATGGACTTTAAATCCTAAATCGGATAAAATTTATATGGTAGCTATAGCTATATCTGAGCCGATTTTCTCCAGATTTGATGCATTTGCTTCTAGACTGAATTCGGTGGGATGTATCAAAATTTAGGTCATTAGGACTTATATTGGCAATTTGGTGCACCGATTATCACGAATTTCAATGGAGTGCGTCCTTGGGCCAAACAAATACAGACTACTGCAAACTATAGAAATACAGCCCTGAGGCTATTCCCGCTTCCTTCTTCTTCCAATAATTGATTTTGAAAATATTTTGTTTTTATACCCTCCACCATACTATGGAGGGTATATTAATTTTGTCATTCCGTTTGTAACTCCTCGAAATATTCATGTCAGACCCAACAAAGTATATATATTCTTGATCAGCGTAAAGTTCTAAGACGATTTAGCCATGTCCGTCTGTCTGTCTGTCTGTTGTAATCACGCTATCTTTCGAACAAATTGAGATAGAAGGCTAAAATTTTGCACACATGTATATTTTCCCAGTAGGCAGGTTAAGTTCGTAAATGGGCCATGAATCATATAGCCCCCATATAACGGTACCCCCCGATATTCGGTATTTTGATGATTTTATCGACATTGTTTACCGGAATCGTTTCAAATTTGGTATTTGAAGTTCGTAATGGATACTACATCCTAAGTCAAAAAATGAGCCATGTAGGTCCACGTCTTCATATAGCCCCCATATAACGGTAACCCCGATATTCGGTATTTTAATGATTTTAGCGACATTATTTACAGGGATTGTTTCAAATTTCGCATGTGAAGTTCGTAATGGATACTTCAGCCCATGCCAGAAGATTGTCTGTGCAGGTCCACGTCTTCGTATAGCCCCCATATAACGGTACCCCCCCCCCCCATATTCGGTATTTTGACGATTTTAGCTACATTATAAACAGATTTTTCTTCAAGTTTCGCATTTAAATATTGTAATAATTTATGACAAAAGTTACCTATGCAGGCCCAAGTCGTCGTATAAGCATTCGGTATTTTTAAGATTTTAACAGAATTTTTAACGGGTTTTATTTTTTGGAAATTGCCAAATTTGTACCAAATGGTGGAGGGTATTGAAAGTTCGCCCCGGCCGAACTTACAGCTTTTTTACTTGTTATTTTTCAAAACAATAAATACATACTTAAAATTGGCAGAAGTCGGGCACATTTAGAAAAAAATTGTAATCAGCTGGTAGCTGTACCTTACCTTTTTATTGTACCATGGTTTATACAATGAATGAAATGTTTCAAACTTTTTCATATATAAACTTTTCCAAAAAATATATATATAATTATTTCGAAAATCTGTAGCACCGTGTTATATTTATATGTTGATTAAGATACAACTTTTTACATCGAATGATTAAATATATATATATTTTTTTTTCAATTGATTTTGTTTTGTCATGTTGTTTTCGTTTCGAAGGACAAAGAACATAAAACGGAGTGTCATAGTTGTTATTGCAAATGAAATTTTGATAGAAATTAAAAAAAAAAACACATTTCCCATTTTTAAAAAAAAGAAAAAAGATTTGCTAATATTCCCTGTTTTATGTTTGAAATTGTTTGAATATGAATTGTTTCGTTCTCTCTTTTTAACAAATTCTAATAAAATACCTAACAATTTATACAATGCATACCTGCATACATACATATATACATCCTAGAAACGAACATTTTTTTAACATCAATGATTTCTTTTATTCTCTAAATCCGTTTGTTTTTCTTAAATATATGTTTATGTGCGTGTTTGTGTTCCATGTGTGCTCTCAACCAACAACAAATATATATGAAACAAACCAAAAAAAAAAAACACCCACACACATACACATTTATCCTCCAACATATATATAATAAAAAAATGAAAACCAAAATCTTGGATATGGCAGATTTAAAGATTATACTCCTACTACTGGTACTGTTATGATAATGATCCAATTTTGTTCCATTTTTTGCAATCACTTAATATTAGCATATCAACAACCACCCACCCACCAGTACACCCAACAATTTTGAATCAACCTTTTTTGAAATGAGTAAATTTTTAGAAACCATTTTACGAATTTCGCTTTCTTCCACTTCTTCACACATTCACTCACCTTTCTCCTTCTTCTTCTACTTCGCCTTTCACCTGCTTGAAAGTAGTTTTGTAAATACAATTCCGTTAATAAATTGACTTGAAATGTAAATTTTGTAGAAGGTAAGTGAAATAATAATTTTATTCCTTTTTTAAATCTGCTAATGTTCACAGTTCTACGCTTTTTCTAAATACACCAGTCAAGTATACATTTATAGGATGCCAAAAAGGATTCAAATATATTTGCAGTTTAAGAGTTGACATTTAAACTCTGTGGCAAGAATTTTTTTTCAGATATATTTTATAATTTTAATAAACAA